ATGAAATTAAATTATATTCCAGTTATAAATGTGCTTCTGATTACAGATAGCCTGGGATTACAAAGATTTGTATTTTAAAGAAAACCAGTTCGAAGGGAGCATAATTTGCTTTTTGGGTTAAAATAATTTCTTAATATGAAATTCGAAGAGTATGACAATTAGATTAGACTGTGCAGAAATTGAAATCTACACGCTAACACACACTATACTCACAGTAACCAATGCTGATGTTAACATTAATCATCTGAGAATAAAGTATAACAATAATAATAATTTGAACGGTTTGATGTGATATGAGCTAATCAATCTTTAGATTTAATCACCATTGGTAGCGCGGATTATTGTAATGCTTTTTTCCTCAGTTGGTCAGAACAAACGTGGCAGACTTGTTACTTACTTGTTCAGATGGCAATATATGGTGAAAATTCTTATTTGGGTCATATATTCCAAGACGTAGGCTAGAATCTGTGATTGCGAAGTACAGTAAATACCCACACCGGTGCGGTGACTGACTGCCACACACACATACTCTTCAGAACATTAGATTCATCCGCACTGGGGCTGCGCCGGAGCACAATCCACGCAAGCTAGATAATACCTCACACAGCTGCAATTCCAGGTTTTCAAACAGAGATGGCAACAAAGAGGCAAAACTTACGGACTGCACCTTTAAATAAATGGTGCACATGAAAACCAGGACATCTGGGATTGCAGAACCAGAAAAACCACCACACTAGACGTTCCTTCAATCACAATCAAAACCAGCTTGAATGGTAAAAGTGGTGCACTACCAAACCAGTAAACCCCATCGACATCTGAACATTTTGCAAATTTGCTCTTGAAAACGAACCTGACAGTAGCTGCATCTGAGAGAAATTCCCAACGCGAGTATGTAATATTGGCAATAAGACTAACATTTCAACTACTTTGATCAATTTAAGACGCAATCTCTCTTTTGTTTAGCAGTTTAAATAACTATGAATATGCAATGCATGCAACAAAAAAAAACAAATTCAACCAACTCTATTTAACAGCATATCCATAGAGGCTAAATGCAAACACTGCAGAATGAAAGGGCCACAACATCATGACAAACACTACTTATTTCAAGACACAATAGTAAAGCGAGGTTGCATTCAGGTAACCTGGCATAAGGAAGAGAATCTCATGCAAGTATTCATTAAAATGTCATTAGCGAAGTATTCTACGACTTTTATCTCACTGTGACCCCAGACTGTGATCTTCATCTGAACACTAAAAAAGGCTGGTAAGGCAATCAGCTTTCATTTGATGTAGCCATTAGTGTGCTGAAATAAAAAAGAAGTGATAGTAGTTGCAGTAGGAGAAAAATGCTGGAGAATTTCGCCGAGGCTTCTGTGCTTGTTGTGGTGGTTATCTGATGCTGGAGAGAGAGTTTTGATTAATGTTGTAAGTGGCCACCAGAGACGTGCCGTTGCTGGTCATACAGTCCTGCTGATGAACACTAAAAAAGGCTGGTAAGGCAATCAGCTTTCATTTGATGTAGCCATTAGTGTGCTGAAATAAAAAAGAAGTGATAGTAGTTGCAGTAGGAGTTCAGTCGGGCAGGAAAAAGTGGAAAATGCTTGAGAATTTCGCCGAGGCTTCTGTGCTTGTTGTGGTGGTTATCTGATGCTGGAAAGAGAGTTTTGATTAATGTTGTAAGTGGCCACCAGAGGCGTGCCGTTGCTGGTCATACAGTCCTGCTGAAGGGCTTCGAAGTAAGATGCTTGCACAGGTTTGTGACACTGCAGCACACGCCGGGCATCTTCTGTCTTAAACCACTCTCTCTTCCTCCCTGAGAACAACGAGAGGCACCAGAAAACCAGTCAACATGACCGCAGTAATGCTGCATTCACGTGCAGTCAGTTACTGTCATTAGGAGAGCATTTTAAAGGGGTCATATGATGCTGCTAAAAAGAACATTATTTTGTGTATTTG